CCCCATTTTAAGTTCCTGGAAGCACACATCCATGGTTTACTTCACCTTTTAAAACCCCACCCTTCCCCCCTGCCATTCCGAGCACTGCACATCTTGCAGGAATGTCTCCCCGTTTTTTAATGTGTTTATTGTTTGTAAGTCCATGTTACAATCAAATGTTTATTTGGATTTCTAGCAGATTGTCAGTCTAGTATTTTCACTAAGACTGCACCAAACACTGACTGGGTGACCCCTTCTCTTGGTCAGGACACCCTGGTGGAATTTGGGTCTTTCGACCCTTCCTGCCTGATGCCCACCTGCCCGGATTACTGGACCTACTCGGGGTCTCTGACCACGCCACCACTCTCCGAATCCGTCACCTGGATCATTAAGAAGAAACCAATAGAGGTTGATCAGGGTCAGGTAAGCTCCCTCTACAACCTGGACCGAAGCAAGTTCAAGTGCACCCTCTTTTTTTTTCCCTCTTAACTTTTTATTCTGAATTGAGTGAAGGTTTCTGAGGAGCTTCTGGTGGGTCTTAAATGCAGACCTTGAGGTTAATAGTCCAGTGTCTACTCTGCAACGCTACACCAAGACTCTTCTTATATCAGTATCTTTTCATTTCATTGGTTTTCCCGTGTAATTTCTGAAGCCACCTCATAGTAGTCTATTTCATAGATCTTGTTGTTAGGTGCTGCACAACCCAAGGAAACACTGTATATGTTATTATTGGTATTTGGGTTATTTCTAATCTTTGGCAGTTTGCCTGAATCAGCCTGATTCGGGCATCTTCTCAGTGAATGAGGGCAGGGGCGTAATATGGGCAAATGCAACCACTTTTTGGTGCTTGCCTGCTGGACTTGGCCTGGCCTGACCTGAAGTCTGCACCAAACACATCCTCATGGGCTCATCTGCTGGGCCCGAGGCCTTTTCTCTGTAGCTCCAGCAAGCCTGGTGGTGCTGGAGAAGTGTGAGTAGAGCTGTAAGCAGTGATCCTAACTTGGCTACTGCAAAAGTCCCAAGGCCACGGGCCCCACTGGAGAACAAGTGCCTGAGACGGAGATGCCCCTCTAGGACTGAGGCTGTGTGGTCCAGAGTGCAGCCACTAGTCAGTCACATACAGCCAGTCACATTGAAGTGTAAAGATGTGAACAATGAAATGAAAGAAACAGTACAGTTCCTCGGTGGCACTACCCAGTTTTGGTGCTCAGCAGCCATGGGTGGCTTGTGGCTACCGTAATGGCCTGTTCCCTTGGTCAATGCCCGTCCTGAGAATCCAACTGCCATTGAAGACATCTGCGTGCATTGCTTCACCCACATGCCCAGGTGTGCTGAGCAATTTACATAGACATTACTTATGTGAATGATTCCGTTACAATTCTTGTAAATTGTATGGTTGCTATATACTTGTACCTCAGGCCTTTCCTTTATTGTTCTATCAAAATCAGTTGCTGGGGAGTCGACTCTGACTCATGACACTCCCATGTGAGTCAGAGTAAAACAGAGCCCCATAGGGTTTGCGGGGGCTGCTTTTTCAGAAGTAGATTGCCAGACTTTTCTTCAGCGGCACCTCTGTGGACTCAAACCTCCAACGTTATGGTTAGCAACTGAGCACATTCATCATTTGTACACCCAGGGTCTCCCATGATTCCATAAACTGGCTCTTGTACCCATCTGAAGATGAGGTGCCTGAGAGAAAGGAAGGAAGTGGCCTGCGAAAATGGCTGATCTAGGAGGACCCTAATCTTCTGATCACTCCAGGTGCCTCCCTCATCCAGTGTCACACAGCCCGCTGCTTTTCCCCACACATGGCGAGCATTTTATTCCCACCCGAGAAGGGAAGGCATTGCTGCCCCGAAGTGGCTTTTTCTTACCTGTATCCATTTTAGTCAAGTGCTTCAGGGTTTGAAACACGAATGTAATTTATTCATTTACTAAAGCTGTTTTTCTCTTGAAATTATTTATGTTCCCTGCTTTCTATTTCTAGCTCGAGCAATTTCGGACCCTGCTTTTCACATCAGAGGGGGAGAAAGAGAAAAGAATGGTTGACAACTTCCGTCCCCTTCAGCCCTTGATGAATCGTACTGTCCGCTCGTCCTTCCGACATGATTATGTGCTGAATATACAGGCAAAACCCAAGCAGCAGACCAGCCAATCTGCCCCCTAAGACATTCACATCAAGGCAGTATTTTCTCTTAATACACATTTAGCTTTAACAAATTGGTAATGAGATTATTTGAGATGGCTGCACTTTACTAATATAATAATTGATTGTAATGATTATCGATGCACTTTTCTTGGTATGGGAGCTTCCCATCAGTCTTTGCGGAAAAGCTCTTAGGTGAACAAATTCTTCCTTTTCTCAATAATGAATGATGTGTAGCACTGGAGTACCAGCAAGACATGTGAGATTATCTTCTCCTGGCGCCCACTCTCTGATGGGGCTACCTGTATGTCTGACTTTTTTTCTCTAGAGGTATAAATAGGGGTGATAATCAAACTGTTTGGCAACTGGTAAGACACAGACAGGCACTTACTTACCAAGCAGAGAAGAAGCCTGGTAGAAGCCACTCTCAGCCCCATCTAGTGCCTCGTGGCCGAACATCAGCCTGTTTTGCTTCAGAACGTGAATGTGTGCTCTTGAACAAGGGCTTCTCGTTAAGTATGTTGGTCCTGATATTTCACTGTCTTTGCTAGTACTTGATAGGCTTATTATTAATTGATAATATAGATTGTGTATTTTATAACTAGAAGACCACAAGGACTTTTACTTAAGTCCTACAATCTTTTGCATTTCTGAAGATCAGATGTTTTACTTTCACGTAGAAAACACATGCAGAACATTTGAAAGAAAATGCCTCAAGTGTCAAAACTTAGAATTCTTTCATGGCGCTTTTACAGAGATATTTTTCAAAGGCTTATTAATTGAACCATCATAGTTTATGGTATTATTTGTACACTGTTTTATAGACTGTGATGATAAGTTGGTAATATTTTCCACGCTGACAGAGCTTGCCTTAACTTCCCTTTAAAGCTGGTGTGGCACTATAGGATAAGCAAGGTCAATTTGAACTGCAAGGTAGTGGTTCAAACCCAACAGCCGCTCCTCAGAAACCCTATACAGGGTCACTGTGAATCGGAACTGACTCGATGGCATTTAACAACAGCAAACTTTATTTAGTCATGAGATGATGTTCTCTGCTTACAAGGCAGGCACACAGTCAGCTTCAATTTTCCCATTTATATAGTCATTAGGAGATTTCTGTTACAATAACAGGCAGAGAAACTTCCCAGATAGGCTAAAATCGAGATCATTCCATGTCTTCTGAAAAACCCATGCCACTGTTCCTCTAGCCCAGAAGCCTGTGCTCATTCAAAACTCAAGGTTACATCAATAACTAGTAGTATTTTTTCCCCCTCTAGTATGTTAGTCCTCCAATGTACAAGATAGGGTTGGAGTTGGCTGTGGCAATATTTGGGGATATCTCTGCTCCAGAAAAAAGGAGATGGCGAGGGCATTAGTTTCTCGGGTGCCTGCCCTCATTGGGAAAGGGGAGCATGTGTGTCATTTGTTGCTAAGTGTCGTCAAGTCACTTCTGACTCATAGTGACCCTGTATAGGGTTTTCAAGGAGCAGCTGGTTAAGTTTAAACCACCAACTTTGCAGTTCAAGTTAACCTTGTTGTCCAGCGTGTTATCCTACAGTGCCATCAGAAGCCTTCGTACGATGTTGTTAGCTGCCCACTTCTCTTTAAAGGGAGGAAACACCTAAGACAGGCCTTCCCAGCACCCAGGCTTCCCACAAAGACCTCTTCCAAAATCTTAGCACAAAAATCTCTTTCAGTGGATGCTACAAATGGGAGTGAGGACCTATGTACAGAAAATCCCTGCCTTCTCCTTAACTTCAGAGGTACAAAGGATGCCCTGTCTGTAGGGTGTTAGTAGGGTGCCTGCCCCTCCTGGTTGACATGTTGCTCTGCTGTAATGATTCATTACTCACAGCCCTTGTTCCCTTCACACTCACTGGGTGTCCTGTTTGAATTCTGCAGTCACCGTGTCCTCAGGTGATGGAAACTGCCTTGTGGATGTGGTTTCTTCTGTGCCTTAGTCATATAACCTCCCTGCCCCACCCGCACCCCACCCCCCCACCCCACCCCCCCGTGCCCAGCAAAGGGGCACTCTAGATTTCCTGGCTCCTGATACACCTTAGCAAGAAAGTTTTTATGTCCTTCCAGAAGCATTTTGCATATACCTTCTAGGCAGAAGGGGAGAAATGTCAAAAGGGTGGAGAAATAATTTTGATATTAACATTGCTGCTCACCTTCCTTGAATGAATAGATCAATAAAACCCTTTCTTTATAATATTAACATTTGCTGAATGAGTTTTTCTTCCTGTTAGTTCCTTGACCTGTATGAAGGAGCTTCAAAAAGTTCATGGAAAATGCCATGATTTTTCTATGAATGTTGTGATTGTATCAATTACTTCCCCATGTGTTACAGAGTATCCCCGTGTGTTACAGAGTATCCTCATGTGTGTTACATACTATCCCCATGTGTGTTACAGACTATCCCCATTGTTACAGAGTAGAGCTGGTTCAGAGGGTTTTCTTAGCTATCATTTTTACAGAAGCAGGTCAGCAGGACTTTCTGCTGACTCACCACTGGGTGAGTTTCAGCTGCTAAGCTTTAGGTAAGTAGAGTGCAAACCATTTGTACCATCTAGGGACTTTGGGGAGCATTTAAGATATCTGTAAAATGACTGAGACACCTTTAAATATGTAGATCAGAAAGTGACTGGATAGCTCAGATAGGATTTACAGGTAGTACCCAACTTAAGGAGCTCTGATAGCGTAGTGGTTACGAATTGGGCTGCAAACCTTAAGGTCAGCTGCTCCGCGGGAGAAAGATGAGGCGTTCTGCTCCCATAAAGATTTACAGCCTTGGAAACTCTGTGCAGGGTCACTATGAGTCGGAATCGGAACTGACTCCACAACACATAACAACCCCACTTAAGACGTACTCGACTACCACAAATCACACTTAAGACCACCTAGTTTGTTTTCTTTGTGTATATCTTATCATTAGTACTACATATAATATCATCCTCAGATGTTCACTCACCGACAGTCAAGAGTGGATTTATAAAGATAACTGATAATAAAATAATAATGAAAACTTAAAAAAGAAGGGGCATTTGACTTACTTCAGAAGTGACTTATGATGGAGTTGTTGCAACAGAACCCTGTTGTAAGTCATGGACTGCTTGTATTAGAGTAACAGTATTGAATTGGGTGATCGTTGACACAGGAAAACATTGGTTTTACATTCAACCTATCGTATTTCATTGCATTGCAATGATTATAGTCCCCTTCATGCATCATCATTCAACAGTATTTCCTTCTATTCCCTCTGTTTGTTTGTTTTTTATAATGGACACAAGAACACTCAGGAATATATAATCATTTAAACAGCCAACCAAAGGGCACATTCTGCAAGTCTGCCTCCTAGCCACCAGCACACAGCCTTTCTCTTTCCCTGAGTCTAGAGTCCTCAGCAGCTCCCTCGCCCCTTGTCCTCATCTCTGTCTCCATCTCTGGTGTCTCTGCTTCTCTAAATAAGGTCCCACTTTCCGCTCGTGCTTTTCTCCCTTTATGGTTCCAGGGGTTCTCTGTTCCTGTACTGTAAGATTAACTACTCCCCCCTTTTTGTTACAAAAATTCTACCTTTACAGTTGTGACTATCATTTATTGCCTTTTTGATTCAACTTTTTTGGCTATTCTTTCATATAAAGCTTTATTGAACAACAATGGATACAGTTAATTTAAGCAAATAAGCTCTCATTGTACAGTATAATCAGTTGGTCTAAAGAGCTCTGGTAATGTAGTCATTACGAATAGGGCTGCAAAACTCTAGGTCAGTAGTTCAAAACTACCGGCTGTTCTGCAGGAGAAACATGAGGTTTTCTGCTCCAGTAAATATTTACAGCCTCGGAAACCCTATACAGTCACTGTGAGTCGGAACTGACTCCACAGCACACAGCCACCACCACCAAGTAATACTGGCTGCTTTACAGATAAATAGTAATGCATTCTTTAGATAAATTTTGCTTTGATTTCTTCTTTGTGGATTCAGCCCATCTTCTGAGATGGTATTTTGGTTTGGTTTTAAGTATACGCTCTTGCCAGTGTTTTTCTCAAACCACCAGCAGTTAGTTGTGTTACGTAGGGCTAATCATTCAACGCTCCCCCCTTACACACACACCCAATTGAGTAATAAAAGACTCTATATACTTCTTTTTCACACAGTCATTTCTAGCAGTAAATACTTGAACTTTTGGGGTTCAAATATTTTCTCCTGAAAACATGAACTATAAATGTAGGCATTTTACCATAGCAGAGGGCTAACCTGAAATGTACATACTTGAAAATAAGTTTATGTTGCCTTTTAGGGCAAGAAAAATAGCAAATGTATATTATGGTGCAGAATAACGGTTAACTTTGTTTATCCGAGCATCATAGAATCATGTTATCTATGTGGTCGCTACAGCTTGGAAGTGGAATTGGCTTCCAGAGCTACTTTTGTAAGGGAGTTAACTTCAGCCATTCAAACTCATTCATGAAAATTCATTGGGAACCAGCTTAATTAACCTAAAACGCAAATACGAGAAACGTTCATGGAGAAATTTCATGATCATTAAATTCCGTTTTTTCCGCGAACTTTTTGAAGGCAGGGCAGATGGCAACACCAAGCCTCAATGATTACCCATTACCTTCATAGTCTGATGAACGTTCATGAGCTCGGCACCGAAGGCTCTCCTCCGTGACCTAGCCCCAGCTCACCTCTACCGCTGTATTCCTTGACTCGCGCAAATTGCACTGGACATTCGATTGCCCAAATTCTTATTTCCGTCCGATTCCACACTTGTTTCCCCTTTCAGCACTCCCCTACCCTTTTCCACCTGCAGTCAAAAAACACAAACAGAACTCAGGCATGAGAAAACTCTCCCAGAACCCCCAGGTGGGCTACATTACGTGAACGTCATCTTTGCACGGACCATATATATTAACTTTGTAACTGGTCCTTCTTGAGCTCTCGCTTGTAAACTTGGAGGCTCAGGGGACCCCCTTGCAGCCCTGGGAACTAAGCTGTTATTCTAAACCCGCTGGTGGGAATGGCCGGGGACGGATCTGGGGCTGAGATAGGCAGAGCCGCGAAGGGGGCGGGCATAGAGTACCGTCAGAAAGGGGAATTCACAATGTGTGGGACAAGGCTTTGTGAATGGATGAGCGGACAGGGAGAGGTGTCAGCGTAACCGACTATAACACGGGGAAGGATAGCAATTAAAAAAAACACTAGTGAAGCACTGAGTAGAGAATGACTTCCAGTAGAGATGAGATAGGAGTACCAGACGACTTTTCGGGACGGCGGCATTTGCGTGGGCAGGGCTTTGGAAAAGGAACAACCGATGGGAGATCCTCTCTTTCTCCTGCCTTTGGTTTCTCCAGGGCTTAGGCGTGCTCGGGAGGCCGAGCCGCATTAGCGTCTGCGCGCAGCCGCTCTCGCCCTTGGGCCCACCTCTTCCGGTTGACTCTTGGGGCGGAGCGCGCTGAAAAGATGGCGGCGCCCGGGACTACGGTGGTTCGTGAGAGACTGAGGTAAGCTTTGCTGGCGGTATGAGCTGAAGATGGAGGGGGAGGAGCGGGCCGGGACTGAGTGTGGAGAGGGGGCGAGCGGGGAAGAGAGGCTTGCTGGGCCAAATAAGCTCACCGCTGCTACAGAAGGGGCTTCGCGCCCGGAACTGGAGGTGAGGAGAGGAGCAGGTGGCGGGACGGAGAAGATCCTTGGGTAGCTGGCTGCTATAAGATCACTTCTCGGGAAGCAAGATCTCACCCTCGATCACCCGAGCAATTTTCTATCACTGTCCTGTGGCTGCGGAGAGGGGCGCTCGGGCCACGGTGCAGTTGCGACCACTGATTGGTGTGTGTCTTGGGTTCCAGCCACCGACAGTACAGGGCCGCCCTGAAGAAGGAGAAGCGAAAGAAGCGCCGGCAGGAACTCGCTCGCTTGAGAGACTCAGGTAACTGACTCCCTAGTCCTCTTGTCTGCTTGTGTCTGCCTTCCACCTTTGCTCTGTGATGCACTAAGTGTCAAGGAAGAATTACTGTAACGGCTGCCTCCCAAGTAAAGTTTCCATTGGTGGTTTTGTTTTTTTCCCATTAGACCTACTGTTAGCATCCTAAAGGCGGGAAAGAAAGCTCTGCCGCGTCCTCACCCGCTGAGTGTGTTTATAAAGTAGCTGATTGTACAAGTTCCGCACATACTGGTCCTCCGCTGAGAGCTTTCTGTGTAAAACCGGCAGTCGAGGGCTTTCATGAGCCATTTTGCAAAATTTGTTTTCTCAAGCTTAAGTTATGTAAGGAGACCCTTCCTTGAGTCACATGATTATTAGACTTTTTAAATATGTACAAGCAGAAAAGTTCGTCGGAAACTCTTTGACTCCACAACCAAACGGAATGATACTGAAGGGAAATAGATGCCCAGCAGCTCAGTGATACTGATTATTTTGCTGTGCTTCTTTGGAGTGTGAAAAGCTTTGTTGCCTGGTTACTTACCAAGGATCCCTGCTGGATACGTGTTAAGCTGCTCACCACAAGGTTCGTGGTTCAAACCCACACCCATAAAGAATACCAGGCCTGGAAACCCTTAAGGAGCAGTTCTGCTGTGTCCTGTAGGGTTGGTATGAGTTGGAATCGAATGGATGGCACTGGATGGTGGCGGTGGTGGTGACTTACCATTTGTTTGTTTGGGGGTTTGTTTGTTTTTTTAAGTTTTTATTGTGATTGAGTGAGAGTTTACATGAGAGAACATTGGTTTTACACCATTGTTTCATTGCAATGATTACAATCTCCTCCGTGCATCAATCATTCAACAGTATTTGTTTCCATTCCCTCTGTTTTTCTTTTTTTTTTTTTTTTTTTTTTGAGAGGGGATGTACACAAACACACTCAGGAATATATAATAATTTAAACAACCAAAGAACACATTTTACAAGCCTGCATACTGGCCACCAGCACACAGCCTTTCTCTTTCCATGAATCTAAAGTCTTTAGCTGCTCCCTCTCTCCATACCTTCATCTCTGCCTCCGTCTCTGGTGTCGCTGCTTCTCTGGATAGGGTCCCACATTCCACTTGTGCTCTTCTCCCTTGATGGTCTTTGGGTCCTCTGTTTCTGAAATCTAAGATTAACTACTCCACCCTTCATTTACTCACTATTGAATCATAAGCATCTTATCCCCATCTCTTTTCACCAGACTGGTCTAGACAAGATGAAAACTCTTCAGTGGGGAACCATTTGTGCTTGCTATTGAAACAGTTTTGTTCATTAGCAAATACTTTGTTCACTGTGGAACCTTCATTGGTACAGCTGGACATGATGCCTTTTAGTTGTCATATGGCAGAATCTGTGATTGATTCTTTTTTTAAAATGCTTTATTGTGATTTATATGATAGTTTACATGGGAGAACATTAGCTTCACATTCATCCTATCGTATTTCGTTTCATTGCAATGATTACAGTCCCCTCCATGCATCATCAAATAACCACAAGCCCGCCTCCCTGGCTGTCAGTAAATAGCTCCTCTCCCTCCCTGAGTCCTGTGTCCCCTGTCACTCCATCTGTCCACATCATCTCTGTCTCCATGCCTGGCTACACTGCCTCTCTGGGTAGGGTCACACTTTCCTGTCTTTTCACTTGATGGTCCCAGGGACCTCCGCTCTTGGGCTGCAAAATCAATCACTCTCCTCCTTTTTCCAAAAACAAAATTAAAAAATCTGCCTCTACGTTTCTGACCCTCACAGTCAGTCCTGACGGCACTTATTCACTATTGTACCATAAGAGACTTATCCCCATTTCCTTTCGCCAGCCCGGTCCCATCCCAACATTCAGTGGAGGTTCTGCCTGCCCCTGCCCCGCCTGGAACTAGGCTTCCTCTTGAAAGCCAGTCACTTCTTGCCTTTATAGCCCCCCCCCATTTTGGTCTGGGTAATTTCTAGCCCCCTTTAAGGTATTCCAGTCAGTTATAGACTGCAGACAGACTTACATGTTATCTATTGTGATGTTTCTGGCTATTCCCCCCACCCCCAACCCCAAGTGTCTATTTCACAATGGTAGACAAGGGAGACCAAGGTTCAAAAGACAGCCTAGCATCCTAACATTATTCCCCTCTTTTACCCTTTCAAACCATGCCTCAATCCCTGTATCTTGAAGCCCTGTTATTCCAAAGTTGTGCATACATCGTCATGTACCTCTGTCCCACCTAGCCTGTGTGAACCTGCTTAATTGTTCTCCCGTCCGCCTTGTTCTTCTTTTTTCCCTCCCCCTTCTTGTGTATTGCCAGCCACCTCCAGCACCCAGGCTCTCCTGTGTCTATTCCCTACACTGTGCTCTATCTTCCCCACCCTCCTCTCATCCCATACATCCCGGTGATCAGCAATTATATATATATATATATAGGGGTTTTATTTTCCCCCTTTTTGGGTGTGGGTTCTTTTTCTTAGTCCTTTACAATAATTGTCCTATGCAGTATTCCTCCTTTTGTGACTGACTAATTTACTCAGCATAATGTCCTCATTCATGTTATGTGGTGGCTTGCAGTTTTCAAAGTAGCATAGTATTCCATTGTGTGTATGTACCACAGTTTGTTTATCCATTCTTCCATGGATGGGTACTTTGGCTGTCTCCGTCTTTTTGCTATTGTAAATAGTGCTGCTATGGACATTGGTGTGCATATATCTACTCGTGTTATGACTCGTATTTCTTGTGGGTAAATACCAAGTAGAGGAATTGCTGGATCATAAGATATTTCTATTCCCAACCTTCTGAGGAAGCACCATATTGCTTTCCAGAGAGGTTGAACCATTTTGCAGTCCCACCAGCAATGCAAGAGGGTCCCGGTCTCTCCACATCCCCGCCAGCATTTATTATCCTCAACTTTTTTAATCTTTACTGTTATTGCTGTTGTGAGATGATATCTCATTGTTGTTTTGATTTGCATCTCTCTAATGGCTAGTGATTGTGAACATGTCTTCATATGTTTGTTGGCTGCCCGGATCTCCCCCTTGGTGAAGTGTCTGTTCATGTCCTGTGCCCATTTTTTAATTGGATCATTCATCTTTTTCTTGTAGAAGTGTTGTTGTTGTTGTTGTTGTTGTTATGTGCCGTGGAGTCGGTTCCGATTCATAGTGACCCTGCATAGGGTTTCTGAGGCTGTAAATCTTTACGGGAGCAGAAAGCCTCATCTTTCTCCCGTGGAACAGTTGGTAGTTTTGAACTGCTGACCTTGCGGCTTGCAGCCCAATTCGTAACCACTACGCTACCAGAGCTCCTTAGAAGTGTTGTAGTTTCCTATATATTTTAGAAATGAGTCCCTTGTCTGATGTGTCATTGCAAAAGATTTTTTCCCATTTTATGGGTTGCCTTTTAACTCTTTTGGTGAAGTCGTTTGATGCACATAAGTTTTTAATTTTTAGTATGTCCAACTCATCTATTTTGTCTACTTTTGTTTGTGTACTTTTCAAAATGTTTGATAGTCTGTATATGCCCTGAATTAGTGCCCTCACATTTGTCCCTATTTTTTCATTGATGTCCTTCATAATTTTGGGATTCACATTTAGATCTTTGATCCATGCTGAGTTCGTTTTTGTATAGGGCATGAGGTACAGGTCTTGTTTTAGTCTTTTGCATATCGCTTTCCGGTTCCGCCAGCACCATTTGTTAAAGAGACTATCTCCTCCCCATGCAATATGCCTAGGCACTTTGTTGAAAATCCGTTGATTGTATGTGGATGGGTTAATTTCTGGATTCTCGATTCTTTTCCATTGATCAATGTATCTTTCATTGTACCAGTACAATGCTGTTTTGATCACTGTAGCCATGTAGTAAATTTTGAAATCGGAAGTAAGAGACCTCCAACCTTGTTTTTCTTCTTAAGCAGTGCTTTGCTTTTCCTTTCCATATAAAGTTATTAATTGTCTTTTCCATCTCTTTCAAGAATGTTGTTGGAATCTGGATTGGGATTGCATTATATGTGTAAATTGCTTTGGGCAGTATTGACATTTTCACGATGTTAAGTCTTCCTATCCAGGAATATGGAATGTTCTTCCATTTCTGTAGGTCTCTTTTGGTTTCTTGTAGTAGTGTTTTGTCATTTTCTTTGTATAAGTCCTTTGTTTCTCTGGTTACATTTATTCCTAAATATTTCATCCTTTGGGTGGCTATTGTAAATGGTATTGCTTGCCTAATGTCCTTTTCAGGGCTGTTATTGTTGCTACAGAGGAATCCAACTGATTTTTGTAAGTTGATCCTATACCCTGCCACTTTGCTGAATCTTCCGATGAGGTCTAGTGGTTTTTTTTACTGAGTCTTTAGGGTTTTCTATGTATAGGATCATATTGTCTGCAAATAGAGTTTTACTTCCTCTTTGACAATTTGGATGCCTTTACTTTCTCTATCATGCCGTATAGCTCTGGCTAAAACTTACAGTATGATGACAAATAGGAGTGGTGACAAACTTGTCTGGTTCCCATTCACAGATGGAAGGCTTTCAGTTTCTCTCCATTGAGAGTGATGTAGGCTGTTGGGTTTGTATATATGCTCTTGATTATGGTGAGGAATTTCCCTTCAATTCCTACTTTGTTGAGTGTTTTTATCAGGAATGGATGTTGGATTTTGTCAAATGCCCTTTCATATCAGTTGATATGATCATGTGGTTTTTTTTCCTTTTTCATATTTGTATGGTGGATTACATTAATTGTTTTTCTAATGTTGAACCATCCTTGCATCCCTTTTATGAAACCCACTTAGTCATGATATATTATTTTTTTAATGTGCTGTTGGATTCTGTTGGCTAGCATTTTGTTGAGAATTTTTGTGTCTATGTTCATGAGGGATATTGGTCTATAGTTGTCTTTCTTAGTGCTGTCCTTCCCTGGTTTTGGTATGAGGGTTATCTTGCTTCATAGAAAGTATTAGGGAGTTTTCCATCCTCTTCTATATTCTGGAATAATTTGAGTAGAATT